CTCAGTGGATACACTGGGTAAAGGGATCACTCACATCCCAGGTGGGACAGAGCAGAGTTCATGAGATTTCATCACACTACTCCGAATGGCCCACCATTTAAACTTATAAATTGTTTATTTCTGTATTTTCCCATTTAATAATTACGGACCTTGGTTCACTGTGGATAGCCGAAACCATGGAAAGAGAAACCTCGGATAAGAGGGGACTACTGTATAGGGTATAAAGAGAAGAATTAGAGAAATACTCAGTCCCGATCATGTTGAATTGAGGTTGGGATGTCCAGTGGGCATTTGACTGCAAAAACTCTAGAGATTTTAAACCCATGAACTCTAAGTCATGGCAGTAAGTATAGGAGGGAATGAGAGCTTCCATAGAAGATCAGAGCAGAAGCCTTGGGGATGAACCGTGAACACCAGCACATCAGGAGTTGACTGAGGAGGCGAGCCTAGGGTTAGGGGGACTGGGAGGCGATGTCAGCATCAGAGGAAAAGTGACCACTGTCAGTGCTCTAGCGAGATCAGGGACTGTGAGGGCTAAGGGTCCAGTGGATTTGGTAGTGAGATCAGCAATGGCCTTTGCCCGCTAGCAGGATTTTTATAGAGTTAAAAGAATTGGAGTTCCAGTTTCATTGGATCAAAGAGAAAATGCAAAGTGAGGAAATAAAGAAAAAGTTGTCAGTGCATCCTGATGAGCTATCAGGAGTAGAAATATATCATCGTGATGGGGGGAGGGACATGATTTAGGGCTGAAATAGGCCTTTGAGATATTCAGATAGCAACTCCTTATTTCAATACATGAAGGAACCAAGACCCCAAAAGGTTTAGTGGTTTATAGTATGGCAAAGCCACTGAGTCTAAGTTTTCTGATTCCAAATCTACAAATATATCGGGGCAAACAACCCAAAAGGGAGGGAAAATTCTTTTTCATGCTTTCTAATGTTAATCTCACTCTTCACATTTGAATTTGTTCTTTCTCAGGTAGAGATGAATTAAGTTACGATTGTACTGGAGAGTATGTACATGCCCCCAGTGTATTGTACATTCAGAAGTGTGTTGATAAAAAGCCACTGGCTGAATCTGAAACCAGACGCTAAATTCAGTCGTGTTGCAAATGTGCAAAATTAATATATCAAAATCTGTATTCATAACCAGTTATGGGAGAAACATTATGATATTAAAGTTTTGTTTTTAAAGTACTACTTGAACTAGAAATATACTAAATTTTAAGAAAACTATTCTTATTTATGGGAGATGGGTCTTATCCTTGGGCAGTTGTGTGAAAATATTCATAACAGTATTTTTGAGCATTCACACCAGAATGTAAATTCTTTCATTTCGGTATAAGAGCACCACCTATGGGTTTCTCGGGTATTTGGGGGAAATTTTTTTTAAACAAAACCTCATAAAATTCTATCTCGTTTTCCCCTGTAACTAGTCTATTCATTTATTTAAAAGCTAACAGTTGTCTGCTTCGTCATAAATTATTCCCACCCAGGTTTTGAAGGATGGATGGATGAATGGATGGAGCAAGCAATTGACTGGTCTCCATGGCTAAAGCTAGCAATTCTGACACTTAAACTATTACTCAAAGATTTAATTTGAAAACCTCCATGCCTCCTCAAAATGAGTACTTAATTAGAATAAGATACTTTGACTAAAAGGAAGGAAAATAAAATATCTCATTAGAATAATAAAAGCTTTTAACCGTTGATTTGATGTCTGAAGTGTTGGGTGATTTTTAAAAAATAAACACTGATTTACTTAATGCTTTGTTTTAAAGTATAATAGTGAGCTAAGATTGCTTTGGCTCTCTTCCAGCGTGTGGAGAAACTCCAGAACAGATCCGAGCACCAAGCGGTGTGATCACCAGCCCAGGCTGGCCTTCTGAGTACCCTGCCAAGGTCAACTGTAGCTGGCTCATCAGGGCGAACCCAGGGGAAATTATTACTATAAGGTAGTTCTGGCATCTTTCTGTATTATTATATACTGTTTTATTACAAGATAATTCCGTTTCCAAGCATCATCACTCAACCTATAAATAGATGATTTTCGGAAAATGTAATAAATTACAGTTATCAGTATCATCTTAAGGGTAAGAATAATGGCCCCTCCTTTCCCTACTATTAGGACATGTGTTTTGAATATTTCCTACTGGTGGTAATGGACTTGAACTGAGTCACTCATATTTTTCTAGGCCACTGTTTAACAAAAGGTACACATTTGCAAAACAGCTTATTAGGTTCAAGAGTGTAATTTTCAGCCGTGGGACAAATACAACCCACTAATCCACTTGGAGATCTAGCCCGTAAGGTCCGTCTCGTCTGTAGAGTCTTCTGCCTTAATGAGTTAACACAGTAACGGGCTATGTCTGTGTATGTATGTACGTATGAAACATGAAACAAGCTGGTGGTGGGTAACTAAGAGCATCCTTAAAACTGACGCAGGAAGCCTAAGAAGAGGGGAGAGAAAAAGACAAGCTTTGTAAATACTGACGGCAAGACAGCTCGCGTGGGAAGATGAACGTCAGATGTCATGGACCGTAAAGCGCAGAACATTCGTGACGGTGCAGTAACCCACCGGGAAGATGTCATTGTGCCCTGGCCGGTGCGGCTCGGGTGGCTGAGCCGTCCAGTGCGCTGAAAGGTTGCCGGAATATAAGACGGAATTTTTGTAACTGAACAAGAAAACCCAGTTTTTTAAAGGGGCAAAAGTCTTGAACACTTCGCAGAAGAATGAGAATGGCCAGTAAGCACATGAAAAGATGTTCAGCAGCATTTAGCCTTCAGGGACGTGCGACTCAGACTACAGCGGGAAATGCCATTTTATGCCCCACTAATGACTGAAGTTAAAAAGACTGAGAGTACCAAGCGTTAGGGAGAGTGTGTGTGTGTATGTGTATCTTCCATAGCAGACACACCCGAAATAGTACATGCTTATACTATATAAAGAGCTCTTTAAAAAATAAGAAAAATGTAATGGATAAAAGATATAAAGAGGTAAATCACAGGAAAAAAAAATAGCCGGTGAACAGAGGAAAAAGTGTTTCCATCTCAGTAGATAAGAAAATGCAAAATAGAGCAATGATGATGTTTTGTCCACCTAATTGGCAACGAGTTTTTTTAAAAACAGTCTCCTGTTGCCGGAGTTCTGGTGTATAAGGTACTTTCCTACACACTCCGTGGAACTGTGAGTTGGTATGAACATTTCTCTGAGTGTCTGTCACATTTAAAGTGGAATTGTGTCTTTTGACGTAGCAATTCTACTTCTAGAAAAAATACGTCCTAGAGAAACACTTGCTCATGTGTAGATAGAGGGGTACATGTGGGAACAGTCAGAGTGTCTATCAGCCTGTGTTATAGTTACTCAGAATATTTAGAGAGGAAATATCTTGGTATAATAATCCTTGGATAATTAACTTTATTATCACTTAGTTTAAGGCAGGGCAAAGAGATAAAGTCAGATCTTCACTTTTTGGCGAGACATGTTATTGGAAAGTGATGGTTTGGTTTTTCTTTTTTCCATAGCAGTGGCTAAATATATGTGTGCTTTTATGTACCTGACGTTTTGCCCTTTACTCGTGCCCATATTTTGTGCACTATAGAATAATGTTTAACTCTAAAGTAACTTAGGAAAAAAAAGGTATTTTCAAACTCTGGGACTTGTCAATGAAAATTTTTTCTGTTTGTTTGTTTATTTATTTATTTATTTATTTACCTTACTAGGATTTGTGCTACTTGCTTTCCTGAAAATGTAAACTATAAACTTTTCACTAAGCAAGCAGGTGAACCAGTCTGATCTGAGAGACCGCTGCCTTTCTCTGGGTGTGTTGGGTTACACAGTGGTGTTTTGGGCTCAAACACAGGACGTTTAGGATAGTCTGAATTAGAAGTGTACCTAAACATACACACAGAAGAAGGTGAAAAAGGCACCAGCTCTCACCTGTTTTTAGCATTATTTTGGAATCTGACATAACTTGTAAAGAAGTATTGCTCTGGAACCTGAGAAAGAGATATAAATACAGGGCCAATGGGCAGTATTGTTATTTGCTGATGATATGGTTGTATGTCTGGAAAAGCAAGGAGAAATATACATTGTATTATGTTGATAATTTTTTGCCAAAATCACCCTTTCTAATAGCCTTTTCTGACTTTTTATTTGTAGTTTTCAGGATTTCGATATTCAGGGGTCCAGAAGATGTAGTTTGGACTGGTTGACAATAGAAACATACAAGAATATTGAGAGCTACCGAGCTTGTGGTTCCACAATCCCACCGCCGTACATTTCTTCACAAGACCACGTCTGGATCAGGTTCCATTCCGATGACAGTATCTCGAGAAAGGGTTTCAGACTGGCATATTTTTCAGGTGTGTTTTTTAATAAGAAAGATACGGAACAGAATTCTCTAGTATTAACTGCTCAGTCATTGGGGGCTAGTCTTCTAAACAGTGTTCATCTCACTGAGACTCACTTCTCAAGGTAGCTGTGACTGAGGAATTGGAAGCTAAAGGTTCAGGTGCCCTAGAACTGGGTCTTAAAAGGTGTTTTGTATAATCCTAATAAAACGATTAATTTTATACACAAAGGCCAATTTTCTTTTAAATATTTTAAATACATTTAGTTTAAAAGAACTTTTTCTCCCAGTGCTTACCCATATCCTGAAAGTTACTTCAGAATATATTTTTGTTCATGAATTACCATTGTCTTTACAAAACACACACTTGGTTTCACCTTCATAGGTGGTAGTGTACTGGCTCTTTTTAAGCCGTATCCAAAAAGAGTGACCATGCAAATGTGAATAACGCAGACATTGGGGTCATGTATATTTTTTGCTGAAAATAATTTTACGTCTTCTGAAATTACGTGGCCTTCTTTAGCAGACATATGCTCCTTTTTCTCTTTTTGCTTAAAAACACGGTCTTTGTAATATTTAGGTTCTGAAGCACACTTTCTGTCACCTCGTCACCAACAAACATGTTGTTAATGGAGACGATAGCACTGGCCCGACGTCCGTCCATTGGGGGCTGGGGGGATCGAATGTTTGGTTTTCTTTTTCTGCCTCACGGTTTCCTAGTGAGGACGGTACACTACGGTAGTTAGAATTACATGAGCAATTCAGTTTTTTCCTGTCCCCTTCCCCCTACTATTATGATGATTAAACTTACACCTTTTAGCTCAGATTCATGCAATATTTTGCAGCTGTGTTAAAACAATCGAAATTGTAGAAGTGCTGTGTTACGATTACGTGAAATGTTACAAACATCATAAAGTTGATCTTCTAATCTTAGCAAAAACGTGAGCAATGGGCCCACAAAATATGCTATGATATACATAGCAGAATATTATATGTATAAACTACAAAAGAACATGAAAAAATGGGTTTGCAAAGGCGATTGCTGTGGATGAGTTTGTCTTTATTTCAAAATGTCTCTCATTTTGATGTTCATGCAGTGGGTTAAGTTTTTCAGGCAATATATCCTATTGGCTTGTGTGTCCTGCATCATTCTACTGGATGTTCTGCAGTAAAATAGCTTTCTATGAAAGCAGAGTTGGTTTCTTCTCTTTAGATCAAGCTGAAAAGATCTTGATGGAGCAAATCATAAGTTTTTAGTAAGTCGAACATTGAGTAATGAGCGAGAGCCAATATTAATTTGCCATTAGAACTTAACGGAGTTTTTAAAACAAGACTTTTGAAACCCTTTCTCTTGGGCTTGATCAGCATTTATTGTAGATACGTCACGTGGTGTTGCGTATCTTTTAAAGAGCGTGTTCTTCCTCCGCCCCCCCCCCAGGGAAATCCGGGGAGCCAGGCTGCGCGTGCGACCAGTTTCGCTGTGGAAACGGGAAGTGCGTCCCCGAGGCCTGGCGGTGCAACAGCATGGACGAGTGCGGGGACGGCTCGGACGAGGAGGCCTGTGCGAAGGCCGCGCCCCCCACGCCCGCCCCCTCCCAGCCCTGCGCCTACAACCAGTTCCAGTGCCTGTCCCGCTTCACCAGAGTCTACACCTGCCTGCCCGAGTCGCTCAAGTGCGATGGCAACATCGACTGCCTTGACCTGGGCGACGAGATAGACTGTGAGGTGCCAACTTGCGGGCAGTGGTTAAAGTATTTTTATGGCACTTTTAATTCTCCCAATTACCCGGACTTCTATCCCCCTGGAAGCAATTGCACCTGGTTAATAGACACCGGCGACCACCGTAAAGTCATCTTGCGCTTCACGGACTTTAAACTTGATGGCACTGGGTACGGCGATTATGTCCGAATATACGACGGGCTAGAGGAAAACCCACACAAGCTCCTGCGTGTGTTAACTGCCTTCGACTCTCACGCACCTCTCACGGTTGTTTCCTCCTCTGGACAGATACGGGTCCATTTTTGTGCAGATAAAGTGAATGCTGCCAGGGGATTTAATGCTACCTACCAAGTAGATGGCTTCTGTTTGCCCTGGGAAATACCCTGTGGAGGCAACTGGGGGTGTTACACTGAGCAGCAGCGCTGCGATGGGTATTGGCACTGCCCAAATGGAAGGGACGAGATCAACTGCACCATGTGCCAAAGGGAAGAGTTCCCGTGCTCCCGAAACGGCGTCTGTTACCCTCGTTCTGATCGCTGCAACTACCAGAATCATTGCCCAAACGGCTCCGATGAAAAAAACTGCTTTTTCTGCCAGCCCGGGAATTTTCATTGTAAAAACAATCGCTGTGTGTTTGAAAGCTGGGTGTGTGACTCCCAGGATGACTGCGGCGACGGCAGCGACGAGGAGAACTGCCCGGTGATCGTGCCCACCAGGGTGATCACGGCGGCCGTCATAGGGAGCCTCATCTGCGGCCTGCTGCTCGTCATTGCGTTGGGCTGTACCTGCAAGCTCTACTCCCTGAGAATGTTCGAGCGAAGGTCAGTGTCACGGCAGCTGCAGTGCGATGCTGGGCAGTAAAACACGGCCCCCGTATTTGCAGCAAGTACTACCCTAGTGTGATCAGCAGTATGGTTTTGCCATTTGAGATCTATGAGTAGCCCTGGCTGGTTTGGCTCAGTGGTTAGAGCATCGGCCTGCGGACTGAAGGGTCCTGGGTTCGATTCCGGCCAAGGGCACGCACCTCGGTTGCAGGCTCGATCCCCCAGCCCCGGTTGGGGTCGAGTGCAGGAGGCAACCAGTTGATGTTTTTCTGTCACATCGATGTTTCTCTCTCTCCCCCTCCCCTTCCAATCTCTCTGAAAANGGCCCCGGTTGGGGTCGAGTGCGGGAGGCAATGAGTTGATGTTTTTCTGTCACATCGGTGTTTCTCTCTCTCTCCCCCTCCCCTTCCAATCTCTCTGAAAAGCAATGGGAAAAATATCCTCAGGTGAGGATTNAGCCCCGGTTGGGGTCGAGTGCAGGAGGCAACCAGTTGATGTTTTTCTGTCACATCGATGTTTCTCTCTCTCCCCCTCCCCTTCCAATCTCTCTGAAAAGCAATGGAAAAAATATCCTCAGGTGAGGATTTTTTTTAAAAAAAATTGAAATTGAAATCTGTGAGTAGAATGTACTGGGAAAATACATAGAAGCAGGAACGCCAGCATTGCCCAGAGAGTAAGCACGTACTTCAGTTTGTCGGAGGTAAGATACATGTAAAGGACTAACAGGAGACAAGACTGCAACACAAGGCCAGTGTCATGATGTGGAGGGAGGGCCACGTGTCAGAATTCTCACGTAAGAAAGGGTAAGCATTGAAGGGTGCGCTCGGGGGGAATCGTCTTCCATGTGGTGGCAGATAGGCTGAGCCTTGGAGGATCTGGCAGAGAGGCCCCCTAAGAAGCTGCTGTGGAGACGATGACCCTCAGTCCCAGGAGTTACAGGTAACAGGTTCAGCAGAGCCGCGAGTCCCAGACAGCTAGGTGGCTGCCCACAGGTGCACAGTTCCCAGTAACCAGGCTGCATCTTTTCTCTGGGCGAGTGGAAATGGCCAGAAAATGTTTTCCCACATTGTCCCCTAAGAGCGCAGTGAAGAGTCAGAGGACATGAGTTCAAGAACCAGTCATTCCAGAAAGTGTATTCGTGACTTCTTTCACTCTTCTCCACATCCCAAAAGCAAACGCATTGGGCTTGATGAGTGACGTGTCTTCTAAGAGCTTTCAGAGCCTCAGGCCCCCTGTGTTCTTAGGGATTAAAGATCTGGTATGGTTCCCTTTTGCAGGGATTTCTAACTTATTAAAACTCAGGGATCCAGGCCGCCAGGGTAAAGCCCGCGAGGACACACTGTTCCATCTCTTCTCAGCGCAGGGATAGCATAGATACCAGTAAATGCCGGTTGACTAAGCCTTTAAAATTATCAAATATATTAAGGTTCGCATTGTTTTAATAAGCGATGATAAAAACATTGCTGGCTTGCCCTTTCTTTAACCCTTTTTACCCCCTTGTTTCGTCTCAAAGGTCTTTTGAAACCCAGTTGTCCAGAGTGGAAGCAGAGTTGTTAAGAAGAGAAGCTCCCCCCTCTTACGGACAGCTGATCGCGCAGGGTCTGATTCCACCCGTTGAGGATTTTCCTGTCTGTTCGCCTAACCAGGTACGTTGCAGCTCGTGCTTTCAGTTTTAGTCCCTCCTCGAATGAAATCTGCACTCGCAGGTCTGAGGAAGGACCCTCGACCCTCAGAATGTTTGCAGTGAAGTCAAGGATTCAATACATGGAGGATCTGAAATCGTAATTGCTTTATTGTGTTTTAATACCACCACATACAGAAGGATCCTGTTCATTCTTCTGACTTGGCTGTGTGGTTGGTTCTTAAGCATTTCACTGTTTGGGTTAATTTAGTACATTAAAAACCAAAAGTAAAGCGTCTCAGATCGTTTTCTACTTCAGCTGAACATTTAGAAGATTTAAGAATGAACACTAGAGTTACTGTGCTAGTAATATATTGGTAACATGCTAGAACAACCAGTTGTAAGTAGCAGTAATTGAAATAGAGTTAACATTTCCAACGCCCTGTGGGGAAACTTTTTTACAGCTGGATTTTATAGTAGGAATTTTAAGAATTCGCGCCATTTTTTAAAAATAGTCATTTATTCTTTATGAATGTTTCTGAGTTCTTTAAATTTGTTATAATTTTTTTTAATTTTTCAAAATATATTTTTCAGTGCTTACAATTATGCCAGTGCTCATAAAGGTTCACACATTTAAAGTGTAAATTTTTCCAGAAACATTAATAATAATTGTTCCCAGTATTAGAATTAAGAAAAATTGATAAACAGTGTTTTCCAGTGGTTTACTTTCTTTCAAAATAGAAGACCATTTTCTTTTTTTGGCAAATGAGATTTCTCATTACCTTATTTGCATCTTTTAGGAAATCTTTGGTGAGAATTTGTAGCTTTAAAACATTTCTCTGGATGTAATTTGCTAAGTAAATAATTTAGAATTTCCACTGCTTGGAAAAACATAAATTATGACTTCTGTATACAGTATTGTCCCTGCCAGGGAAGGTTTCCTTTTAGGTGGGAATCAGACAATTCATTTCTATCCACTCACGTCACCACTTACCGCCCACCACCCCTGTGACCTTCAAGAGTGCAGCCAACTGTGAAGTTAGCGGGAGTACAGTCCACACACGACAGTCCTTCCTTCTAACACCAAGCGCAAGTTCAGGGCTTCCTAAAACCATCCTCAGGTTTGACAACTCGCTAGAAAGACTCAGAACCCACTGAAAGCTTCTGCACTCAGTGGTTATAGTTTATTACAGGGGAAGGACCCAGATTAGGTCAACCGAAGGAAGAGACACATAGGTCCGGGTTCAGGAGGGTACCGAGCACGAACCTTCCAATTGTCCTCGCCCCAGGAAGTCAGGACAGTGTTAGTCTAGACACCGATGCGTGATAGTGGGCGAGGGGTCTTGCCGACCAGGGAAGCTCACCCCAGACTCAGCATCTAGCGTTTTTACTGGGGCTCCATCCATCACATAGTTGTGAGTAATGGACATATGGCTGATCTCGGCCTCTAGGCCATCCAGAGATGACTGATACGGCCGGCCCAAAGTCCCACCCAACATCTCCTTGTTGGCGTGAAACTGAGCCTTCCCCTAAGGCTCAGCTTTACTGGCCCGAGGCTCCAGGCAATGACTTTCCTATCAGGTGACGTTCCAAGCTAAGGTCACCTCCCGGGAGCAGGGGGTACAAGTCAGAGCTCTCTGGGTAAGGTTTAATTCTTCACTACAGACCGTACCGTCTGGGGTTATCATCTACCCTGGCGAGGGGATTCTGTTTCAACAGTGTTTTAAAAATAAGGCGTTTATGAACAGCAAGCTTGATTTTATTCAGCTCATGAGATTAAACTGCCACCTTTGAAACTTCTGGTAACAAATTATCAAATTTTCATAAGATGATCTAAATTGCCATTTTGTTCAACACAGAAATGCTTTCCGAGGAATTCTCTCTTCTGCTTCGCACACGAAAGGCGTATATAAAACTNGCAGTTTTTAAAAAGAAAAATGATCTAAATTGCCATTTTGTTCAACACAGAAATGCTTTCCGAGGAATTCTCTCTTCTGCTTCGCACACGAAAGGCGTATATAAAACTACCCTTAAGACATGCGTGGGATCCTCTCATGGAATCTAATGTTAAACTGTCAATTTTTCATTGACAGTCTGTGCTTTTCTAAGGCCAGACGCTGAACTATTCCTACGAGGGTGGCCCTTAGCTTTCTGTGAAGTATACTCCTGAGATGAGGTTCGAAAGGCCTGTGTGTAAGTCACAAATCGACTCACCAGTCGCCAAGAGCGACGGAGACCGTGTGCGGCCCCTTCTTCCTGGTGTGCACCTGGGAGGGGGAGGCAGAGGAAAACTGGATCATTGTTGGATCCAGAGACACAGAAGCATGGAACAGACTGAGGGATCTCAGGGAAGGCGGGAAGGGGGTGTGGGTGGGGAGAGATTAATCAAAGAACTTAAAAAAAAAAGGGAGTATGTCAGCTCACGGTCTTTCCTGGAAATCCTGTATTTTCAGTCCTAAATGCCAGATTGATAAAAGCTGTGTTTGTCCCACATTGGAATACTACTTTTTTAGAACCACTAGATGGAGCTTAGAGACTGTCTTACATAATGGTGTAGGTTTGTTTTTTGTTTTTTTAATGACCTGTAAACTCTTCTAGAAAAAAGTAGATTTTTCTTTCAGTTGGGCAGTATGTACCGATTAAACCACTCCCGTATGTACTAATTAAAAATCACCAATTGCAAAGGGTAAGAATATAACTTGCGCTTAATACTAAACTGTGGAAAGTAAAATTTTATCTTTAAAGATTAAGAAGGAACTCTGATGTCTCAGATACCATTGTGTAGTGCTATCAACAAATTAATTTCTTTAGCTTTTCTTTTCCTCTACTGTATTAAAACTATATTGATTGATTTATTCCTGTGCTATGTAGCAAATATATTAATTCCTTTATTTGTAAATCCTCAGTATCCACTCATTCAACAGATCCTTCAGAACCAACTGTGAAATATAACTTTCATGTGTTCTGGAAAGTCTCAGCCTTGTAAATCAAGTCTCACTTGTTCTGTTAAAAACAACAGCAGCAAAAAAACAAAACAAAACAAAAACCCAAAACACAGATATGGGCCTAGTTTCCAGACTGCCCTAGGTCATTTAGGGAATTCTGGTGGAGATTCTCCTACCTTCCCAGCTATAGAAGTATCAGATAATTTTATTTTTTTGACTTTGGTACACTTTGAGGATTGAATTACTGTGTGAAGTTTTAAAATCAATAGCTGTTATAATTGAGGTTAAATACCACTTTAAAGTTGCATGTGGAAAATGAAGCGTTAGGAGAATCTTACACACAGTGGGCCATGGTCCCAGTTATAGATGAGGTTCTACAGTGGGCTGAACCCGTGTAGCCAAGGAAACTCGCTTCGTCTTCCGTAGACCTTCCCGGCGAGCGATGGCGTTTTCAGCCCCCCAGCACCTTCTTCCTGGGAGGGCCTTCAGGCGTGGTGCTCCCCCGCTAGCTGTCTAAACAATGTCCTTGTTTTGTAGGCTTCTGTGTTGGAGAACCTGAGGCTGGCCGTCCGATCTCAGCTTGGACTCACTTCCATCAGGCTTCCTATGGCAGGCAGATCCAGCAGCCTTTGGAACCGTATTTTCAACTTCGCAAGGTCACGTAATTCAGGGTCATTGGCTTTGGTCTCGGCAGATGGTGACGAGGTTGTCCCTAGTCAGAGTACCAGCAGAGAACCTGAAAGAAATCACACTCACAGAGGTTTGTTTTCCGTGGAGTCAGACGACACAGACACAGAAAGTGAAAGAAGAGATTCGGCAGGAGCATCTGGCGGGGTCGCAGCTCCTTTGCCCCAGAAAGTCCCCCCCGCCACAGCGGTAGAAGCAACAGTGGGAGCAAGTGGAAGTTCCTCAGCTCAGAGCGCCCGAGGCGGCCACACAGATAACGGAAGGGATGTGACGGGTGCGGAACCCCCAAGTGTGAGTCCCGCACGGCACCAGCTCACAAGTGCCCTCAGTCGCATGACCCAGGGGCTGCGTTGGGTCCGGCTCACACTGGGGCGGTCCAGCGCCCCCAGCCAGAACCAGAGCCCCTTGAGACAGCTCGACCCTGGGGTCGGCGGGAGGGAGGAGGAAGACGACGTTGAGATGCTCATTCCAGTTTCCGACGGGGCTGCGGACTTGGATGCGAGCGACTGCTCCAGGCCTCTGCTTGGCCTGGCCTCCGACCAGGGACG